GACGGTTTAATCACAGTCAGAAATGTACCTGTAAACACCTTAATCAATCATATATATATATATATATATATATATATATATATATATATATATATATATATATATATATATATATATATATATATATATATATATATATATATTTATACAGTTGAAGTATAATTATTAGCCTTAAATTTTTTGTCCGCTGTTAATTTTTTTCTCCAATTTCTGTTTAATGGAGAGCAGATTTCTTCGACACGTTTCTAAACATAATAGTTTTAATAACTCATCTCTAATAACTAATTTATTTTATCTGTCATGATGACAGTGTATAATATTTGACTAGATAGTTTTAAGACACTTCTATACAGCTGTGAGTGACATTTAAAGGCTTAACTGGGTTAATTAGGTTAACTAGGCAGGTTAGGGCAATTAGGCAAGTTTTTGTATAACGATGGTTTGTTCTGTAGCAGTTGAAAAAAAAAAATAGTTTAAAGGGGCTAATAATTTTGACCTTTAAAATGGTTCATAAAAAATAAAAAACTGCTTTTGAAATATATTGTTGAAATAAAACAAGTAAGACTTTCTCCAGAAGAAAAAATATTATCAGACACTGAAAATTTCCTTGCTCTTTTAAACATCACTTGGAACATGTTTAAAAAAAAAAAAAAAATCTAAGAGAGGCTAAAAATTCTGACTTCCAGTGTGTGTGTGGTGTGTAACTATATATATATATATATATATATATATATATATATATATATATATATATATATATATATATATATATATATATTTACACACCACACACACACGCACACACACACACACACACACATATATATATATATATATATATATATACACATATATATAGATTATGTGTGTGTGTTTGTGTATTTTTATATATATATATATATATATATATATATATATATATATATATATATATATATATATATATATATATATATAAAACAATTCAAGGCTATTTAATATTTTTCTTCTTTTTTTATTAGAATATGCAAGAGGTACACAAATTGGGATCACATTCAAAGAAAACAAAACAACAACAAAAACAGATGAAAAACCACAAAAAACAAAAAACACACGCAAAAAACAAATACAACAACAATAGAGTCAGGTAATGGCAGATACACGTGTGTGTGTGTGCATGTGGGTGCGCGGGGGTGTGTGTGTGTGTGTGTTTGTGTGTGTGTGTGTGTTTGTGTGTGTTTGTGTGCATGTAAAGGTAACTAAGTGGACAGGTCAGAGTATGTAGTCAGAGTATTGAATTATTTTGGATTGACAAAATTCAGTGCATGTGAACATTGTCAGTGCCTGTGTATCATGATTTCTAATTAAAGTATCCTTAAAATAAATAGCTTTTTTTTTACTGTGAATTTACGTGTCATTACAGGTGTGCTACTATTTGCCAAAAGTATGATCACATATACAGTACATGTATAGGAAAGTGGTTGAAACTTGATGGAAGCACACTGTTTGAATGTGTTCTTGTAAATACAGCAATCCCAGACTCCAGCCCTGTGCTTACCTTAGGTAGAAATGTTTCCAGTGAAAGTGGTGGATGACTTTTAGACTGTAAGGTTTTTGTGTAATGCTTGACCTTTACTGGTCTTCTTGGAAATTTCCTGTGGTTTCTAGTCCAGTCGGTAAACAGGTCTCTCTTTTATAAAAGCGAACTGTATTTTTCCCAGTGGAGGTTGTGTTGCATATAGATTTTTATGCTCAATGCATATATATGAAAAGTTCAGATGGAAAAACCTCTGTGCTGTCTGATATGTTCTTCTACAATTTACTTTTTTCTTTGTAAATCTGTAATTTCATTTTGTAATTACATCTGGCGAAGAACGGTTCCAAATAGTTGGTAAGACAAAAAATTCAAAAAATGTTATAAACCAGTTATTAACAGGGTGAGAATGTGGTAAAATCTGAAAACGTGATTAAAAATCAGGCAGCCGCGAGAGCTTTTTTTTTTTACTGGATTGCTTTTGAAAACACTATCGTTTGGGTCAAGTGAAATGGGTGGGGTGGGTTGGTGCTTTTTTTAAATGTAAAAAAAAAAAAAGTAAACACTTATTGTTTCAGAAAAATGTGATACATATTGTATTAGTAACTAAATACCAATTTGGTAAATTAAAATAAATTAAAATAAGATAAAATAAAAAGGGCAATTTTGTAAAAAATAACTAAATAAAAAATACCATTAAAACATTTCAACACATACATTCCAGTGATAGTAAAAAATATATTGAAGTTAGTCGCAGTGCACATTAACACAGTCACATTGTTTGGGATTACTTAACGGTCAGTCCATTCTGATTTAAAAAATGAAGGAAGCTGTCCCAAATCTTGTAAAATATGTGCATTTTTTTTGTTTGATTAAGACAACCTTTCCATTGCTATACATGAAGACATTTCCTTAATCCAGAGTGACAAAGATGGACCATTGAAACTTTCAGTGAATGGCAATCAGGCGCTTCGCATGCAATAGACACATATTTATAAACCTCTGTTCATATGACTTCAGCGATAAGGCAGGTGGGAAAAGATCAAGAATACAGATTTTAGGGCAAACAGGGATTTCTTTACGGGTTGGTGGTTTTAAAACACTATCGGTTGGGTTTGGGGAAAGAGGAAGGTGGGTCAGTTGGTCAGTCAGTCAGTCAGTCAGTCAGTCAGTTGATCAGTTGACAGTGGTCTCTGGTGCACTGTCAAAAAATCCATAATTTTACAGTTTATTTCCGGCAGCTGGGGTGTCAGAGAAAACACTTAAAATAACGGCTGTTAAATTACTGAAATTTACTGTAAAATAACAGAGGTTGAATTACAGAAATTTACCAAAAATTTCAATTTAAAAAGCGAACACAGCGGCCTCAATGGATTAGCGAAAACAAAAACTTAAAAAAACGTACCTGCTGGGATGTACCTGTTGATCTCCAGAAATATATATAGGGGTGCATATTCAGAATGAGCCTGGGTTGTTTCTTTACAGTTGATATTAAACTTTCTAAATTCAAAACAAGTGGTGACAACCTGGCTAACATATGTTCATAAATGATTTAAGCAGTCAGTCAAAGTGAATGCAATGAGTACAACCTTTAAGGGCACATGTCCTATTTCTGTGGACTTTCCATGGACCATTTGAGATCTAAATGAAAAAGCTAAATTTTTGAGGACAAAGCTGAGGTATGCTGCAGCTGTCTGGCACTCTGCTTCACCCAAATCTCTGCATCTCCAAGACACTGCAGCAGTCAAATCTCCTTACAGGACAAAGTTTGTCTTCAGGCCGTTAGTTTTTACGAGCATGTAGAGCATGACCTTCTGGCTCAATCCAGTGGCTTTATTTATGGCCGTGCTCTTTGTTTTCTCATAGGAATGCTGAGAATGCTGCAGGCCGCTCTCTCTGTCCCAACAAGACAGCAAACGAATAGTACTGGCATCTCCTTTTAGACACGAGCTCACCCACGTCCACTCCCACTTTAGGACACAATTTGAGGAATGCAGGATACTAACAAGACAAGTCAGTTTCTTTGTTTTCTCCCATCTTCCTTTTTTTCAGTCTACACCTACAGCTGCAAACTTGTTTGTGGCAGTATCCGAATGAGCTAATAATTTAACACATTATAAGAGTCATTTAGTACAGGAGGGAAAAACGTGGAAGGTTGTTTTTTATTTTACAAAATGATTAGCCTCCTTGTATATTTTTTGACCCAATTTATGTTTAATAAAAAGAAGAAATTTTCAACATTTCTAAACATAATAGTTTTAATAATTAATTTCTAATCACTGGTTTATTTTATCTTTATCATGATGACAGTAGATAATATTTTACTAGATGTTTTTCAGGACACTTCTATACAGCTTAAAGTGGCATTTAAAGGCTTAACTAGGTTAATTAGGCAAGTCGATTATTCTGTAGACAATCAGAAAAAAATGCTTAAGGGGGCTAATAATATTGAGCCTATTGTTTTTTTAAAAATTAAAAACTGCTGAAGCGATTAGGGTGCATGGCCATAAGTGCACTATATAACTACACATTACATTACATAATAAAACAATACATGTAGAATTTTTAAATATTACATAAATTTGTATCTTACAATACCTGTTTAAGCCATAAGTTCACAGAAAATGAAAGTTAAATATTTAAACAAATTATATTCCAAATTTAAAGTTGATAACTCACACATTTTTCTTTGAGTAAGATTTAGCTTGCGCGCAGTACCAAATATCACTACTAGATGACATGCAGTTTCCTTTGGTGCCCATATAAGGGCAGGCCTTTTATTTTTGTGTACATTATGAGGAATATGACACATATTTTGTCATACTGTTGACAATATTTGTAAAGTAGACATTTAATTCCAAAATTGTATGGGCAGTTTGCTGGTATTTGATATGAATTTCTCATTACTCTGTTCCAATGATTACTCTGTTTCTATGACCATTTATGTGAAGCTGCTTTGACACAATCTACATTGTAAAAGCGCTATACAAATAAAGCTGAATTGAATTGAATGAATTTAGCCTATTTTTTTTTTTTTTTTACATGTGGATTGCTGTAGCAAAGCAATGCTTTGACTCTGTTGAGTATCCTTGTGGAAATCTGATAACTATTGCTCAGTAATAACTATAAAAAAAGTCACTAGATTTGCAAAATGAAGCTTTTATGGCTCAAACATGTATACGCAAAAATGGTTCCACAGGTTGAAGATTGACCGTAATAGGGGGATGATCTGTTACTCTTCCTGTATAACACAAAATAGTTTTAAAATATGTATTTAGCACTTTTAGACCTTTCAAGTGGTATATAGTTCATCATGATTAGATTAGGATTTAATTGCAAAATAGTAAACTTCCCGCTAAGGAGAAGGTGACATTTAAGAGGATTAGAAACAAATATTTAACACAAAATAATACACATTTTTTTTTAAACCTTTGACCTTCTAGTAGCTTAAATATATGACTTGATGAAACAAAATAATAACTTAGACAGTTGTTTATTGATTTATTTATTTCATATTTAGCTTCACAACGTAAAAACATATATGCGTCAGGTATATATGCCTTAAAGATCTGGTAGTGTGGTTAATGAAACTGTCAGTATAAATATATCTGTGCGTGTATGAGGTTGTGATGAGAACACCATATATGTTTGGAGAAAGGTACACATTATCACACTTAGTTTTGTATATTGTTGTAGATGTCGTGCCCGAACAACAGTACACAGTAAAAGCCTAATTTTCATCTCCATGTACAACATCAGTGTCTATGCATGCTAAAACTTAACTTAAAAGGCACAACGGCTGTGTGTCAATCGCATTATTTGTTTGCAAAAGAAGGTCTGCAAGACTTTCTGAAGCAAAAACTTACTCTGCAAAACAAAGTTCAGGTTTTTCAGTTCAGTATTGCCATATGTTTAATGGCTCAAGTTGAATAGATTCCCTTATTTCAGTCTCTTTGTAAAAGTCATAGCTTAAGATACTGGTTTATTCATGATATTCAGTACATCATCCAAAATGGACGGGCCCAAGTCAAGTTCAAGGGAGAAAAGTGATCCTGTGATTTGTGGCAGCGATTCCTGTGACTGGCTTTTGCTTTTGGAGATTTCAAAGTCCGAATCGCAGAGACGACCCTCTTCCACACCGCTATCTCTGTCTGCCCAGTCGCCCTTAATGCTGAACATATCCTGTTCATACTGGAAGACAGAGTCGCCGTTGTTACCATTGTTAAAGTTTCCATTGGCATCACCGTTCCCATTAACGAAGACGGACAAAAACGTTTCAAGCTCTTTTTCACTGCTGTGCATCTTTTTCATACAAGACTTCTCGTTCATCTCCATGCGGTCGATCATTGGTTCGTCCTCCTCTGGGACAGGGCTGGGGTCGCTCCTGAAAATGCTGATGGACTGAAGCAGAGTCTCCATCTGCAGGATTTCCAGATCTTCAGAACCGGCTGGAGGAGTGGATGGCTCAGACATGTTATCATGGGTCATGGGAAACACGGTGGTGGAGATCATTGGTAGTGTCAGTGCTTGGCTTCCACCAATAGTTGGGAGCGAGATTGCATTCTTCAAAACTGGCGATGGAGTTTCGACATAAGATGCGTCAGATGCGCTGTTAGCTCTTGTGAATTCACCATGAAGGCCATATTGAGGTCTAACACGACCTCCTTTTCCTGGTAGGAGCTCAAAATTTCCTTGCAGGAACGACATGTCACCGAAGGCATCGCATTCACCACCTTTTCCAATGTGAATCGTGTGACGAAAGTCCCCAAGAGGTGGGCTGATCATATCCGGGGACAAAATGTCCCTCAGACGACATTTCTTTCCCTTCTTACTGTAGTTAGATTTCAGGTAGATGGGTGTTTTGGCAGGCATGCCTGCTGTAGAGTCCAGTGGGTATGGAGAGGAACAGGAAACACTCTGGAAGTTCAGATGTCCTCAGTTGTGTGATGACCTTCTGGAGTCTTGCAGTTAAAGAGCAGGGGTTACATTCTCAGAGAGCAGCTGTTTTAAATGTATCTCAAATCCTCGCTGAAGATAATCCAGACCCAGTAATTCAATTATTGCCCTTTACCTGAAAAGATGAGAAAATTATTTAGTTTTCTTTGTGCTCAACATCAAAAACGTTTATTACATCCAATTGACGCATTTGATTCATTTAAATGTTCAAGTCAGTTTCACATGTATCTGAATGTAGTCTGTGGAATCTACGAAGGAGATCCATTCATCTGGGCAGTTGATAAAGGTTTGCTAAGTTACTGATTAATTGACAGGCGGTTGATTAAAACATTAAAGCAAAAAAATAAAAACAGTATACTATATCCTGTGTACAAGCCACAGTTGATAGATTGATTTTGCTTAGATGTGGATACAGGATCATGTAAATCAATTGAGACATGTCAACTTGTCTACCATTGTGGAGCAGTCTAGGTTTTATCACTCACACTACAAAAAAAAAAAAAAACTATGATTTTTATTTAAATAACTACAATATTGAACACCCTCTGGTTGTAAAAATCATAGAATTTTACTTCTCAAAAGAAATGGGATGACCTCTTACAGATGAAAAAGTGTTCATTTATTTGTGTGTGTTTTTTAAATGAACCCTTGTGTGCTGTTGGTGATGTTTTCATCCACTCTGGGGTGATTTTGAGTCTTAAATTGGCCACAACCTTCACTGTGTTTAACAAAATGGAATGATTTTTGCATGCAAAGATGGAATTAGACATCTGGTGGTGCAAATCGAGTGAACAACACGGTGCAAATTAGGGGTTTTGTGTTTGACGCACTTCAGACTGCAAAAGAAAGTGGGAGCAAACATCTAACAAATGGAGCAATGAAACAGAAAGAAAAGCTAGCTGTTTACAATGATGGAGATTGGTTAAAGGTTCTATGTGACGAGTTCTAGGTGACGAGTTCTATGGCAATGTGTGTTTTTAGGTGTATTACACTAGGGGAAGCCCTAACGCATGTTTTGAATGAGGTACAGTGGAAGTCAGAATTATTTTCCCCCCTGTTTATTTTTCCCCCAATTTCTGTTTAACGGAGAGCAGAGTTTTTTTTTTTCAACACTTTTCTAATCATAATAGTTTTAATAACTCAATTCTAATAACTGATTTATTTTATCTTTGTCATGATGATAGTAAATAATATTTTACTAGACATTTTTCAAGACATTTCCATACAGCTTAAAGTGACATTTAAAAGTTTAACTAGGTTAATTAGGTTAACTAGGCAGGTTAGGGTAATTAGGCAAGTTATTGTATAATGATGGTTTGTTCTGGAACGTCTTAAAAAGTTAGTCCAGAGGGGATAATAATTTTGACCTTAAAATGGTATATAAAAAATTTAAAACTGCTTTTTAATCTAGGCGAAATAAAATAAATAAGACTTTTTCTAGAAGAAAAAATATTATAAGATATACTGTGAAATTGTTCTTGCTCTGTTAAACATAATTTGGGAAATATTTAAAAAAAGAAAAGGAAAAAAATCCAAAGTGGGGCTAATAATTCTGACTTAAACTGTATATAATGACAGATGCTCCAGGTAGTAGGGCTGAGCGATTAATCGAAATGTAATCGAAATCGACATTCAGAACCAATTAGTAGATTTATTTTTTCCAGGTCAATTTTTTTCAATTACTTAACCATACAGTGTGTGGAGTCACGTGACCTTGCTCTGTTTTTTTTACTTTTGTGTTATTTTGCACTGCATTGACAATGACTGACAGCTGTGCCAGAGATGCCTCAAGATGGCATATTTTTCATTACAATAAATTGTAATGATTGTTTACATTAAATCATTTGTTTACAGAAGATGCAAGAAATGCACTGTTAGAAATATTATTTACAGGATATGCAAGAGTTATTTTATTTAGAAGAGATACGCCTTATTTTCTACTTTAAATATGACAAACACAGAAAATAATTTATTTTGTTTCCAAGAGTGCAAGTTACTTATTTTCACTTTTTTTTTAAAGAAAAAAGTGACTTCATTTTAGGCAATGTATGTTTTAATTTAATTTGCTCAACATTGATGATCAATAAATAATCCTTGATAATAAATATGTGAGCGTATTTGCTGTACAAAACCTGTCAGTGAGCTATGAGGCCAAATAAATAAAAGAACTGTTCATTAATCCCAATCGAGTAAAATATTCAGTTAATCGAGATATCTGAGAAAGAGAAAGTAAGATTGTGGATAAAAAGAAGATTTATACAACCTTCCTTTGGCTTAATCCCTACCAGTTTAGGTCTGTTAAAGAAGCTTTATGTCATTGTATCAGATTGCACACCTAAAGCTACCTAATATTGTAAATAAGATATCATATATATAATTTTTTTATACTTATATATATTTGTTAATCACAAAATTGTCCGCAAATTTCTGGGAATTGCCACTACAAAATCAGTAATTTTTATCGGAAAGAATCACAAAAAAATCATGAAAAACTATGGGGTCTGATTTGTAAGTGATTGGTAAGGTGTTCTGCTGAGAAAACACTTCATAGATATGTACATATATATCTACACACACAGACAGACTGTCATACAGACAAACAGAGAGGTGATCTACATCTAAAAATGTTGATTTTACAAAACAAGAATAATCATAAAATCTATTATTGTTTGTTTTAAAATGTGTGTTTACATGTTATAATTAACCCCACGTGAGTCAAGAAGCTTTACAGATAAAGAAGGGATTTCTAAAGATAAAGTAGAAACAGCAGAGTGTTTGGAGAGGCTTAGAGAGAGGAGGACTGGGACTGACTGATAGGAGAAAGAGAGAGAGAAGGGGGTAACCACATCATAAGAGAGAAACTTCTTGACCATTTATGGACATATTTCCTTTTGAGAGGCCTTTAAACACTGACCCTCACCGACAGACTGCAAACAATCACTAAAGCAGCGACCGGGCCACGGCTAGCCAAATATGTACGACTGAAAAAACATGCACATTCCCTTAGCAGCAGAGCCCAACATCCTCTCGCTCCTTTAAGACCTGCTTCAATAAACCGTTCAAGACCCGGGGCTTTTCTCATTCCTACTGAGAAGCTGTATCTATGGTGATTAAACAACACAAAGGTGATACAAGCAAACTTCTGTCATAACACTCCTAAAATATGTGACAGATTTATTTCAAATGATGTATTAACCTTTAAAAGAACAGTAAAAAAAAAAAAAAAATGAAAATACTGTTAATTTACCCATTTTCAGGTAAGCTGAAAAATCTACTTTTCAAGCTGTTTGAACAGACGTGTGTGTAGGCATAGTGTATAGACCATCATATTGGGGTGATAGAAACACACCAAGTGCTTTACAATTGGTGGACCGATTGGAGCCGTTTTGAGATTGACCGCAACTTGACGTAGGAGTGCGGTCCCCCCGCCCACCAATATTGATTGACCCGTGTGCATTACCATATCCTCAGTTTGTTGTTTCATGTTCGCTATTTTCAGCATGTGAGTCAAAGCGATACCACCAAAGGAATACCCTTTCTCTATTTTAGGATGTAAGGCTCCTTGGGCTCAACACAAGAGCCTTCATCGTCTATTATATTTTACATTTAGTGGCCATTTGCGCTGAACATGCAGTGAATGCAACATATTGGGACTCAGGCCATTAAAAACAGCTGATCCACCGAGTCTTTCAGCACTCTCTCTGAAAACACTCGATTGATCTCGGCTGGCGATCAACATTCACCACGTGATAGCTCTCATTGGCACCATTGTTTGTAACTTTTGGTGGGTTTGCAAACCTGTGTACTTCCTTAAACTTCAGCCGTTTGCATTTCCCACGGCCACAGAAGCTCCCTGTCATCTCAACTTGGTGCGGCTGTGAAGTGTGAGCGCGTTGCCTCACGTGCACGTCTCTCCATTGGAAATAATGAACTTGCTTTAGTTATAGACTCAGTCAAAGTTAATCCACTGTGTGTGGTTATTAATCTCGGTGTACAAGCTCAGAGCTTTAAATTAGCACACAGTTGGCATAACTTTGTTTAGTTGTCAAAGTTTTGATCCGAGCAGAAACACGGTGTTGAGAAGCCGTTAATATTAGCCGTGACCAATTAAACCGAGGTTAATAGTAAAACCGGTTAATCATTAAATCCCTATACGGATGGCGCATGCATCGTTACATAGCGGCTATAAAACTATACAAAGACACAAATGATTACTACTTAGTCTTCCACTCTGACACATTCTGACACTCTAGGAATATTGATTCCTAAACAGTACTCTCTGCATAGTCTGTGTCTGGGTCGAACATGTATGGCTGAATGCTGGTCCTCTCACTCATGTTGCTTCTCTCTGTCTGCCTGTCTGTTGCCATACACAAAGCGAGGGAGCTCTTGGCTCCGCCCCCTTAAGTTTAGCGGGAAGTACAAGCTAATATTCATGTGAAGCAACACACCCTTAAAACAACAACCTGTGTACACATCCCCAAAATTACACTTTTTAACACATTATAATAAAAAAAACTCTGAACTGTGTTTTGAACTGAACCTAAACTGGCACACTTAGAATTAAATCTTTAAAAAGGGGTAAACTAGGTGCCCTTTGAAATTGTAGTCATTCATAACATGAATTAGTGGCTACCAGCACTTTTATATGAATTACATAAACATGCAGCGAGGCAGTAGTTAGTGCTGTCGCTTAACAGCAAGAAGGTCGCTGGGTTGCTGGTTCGAACCTTGGCTCAGTTGGCTTCAGCCCCACCCTGTTATTTACTTGTTTGTTTAATTTTTTGGCTTCTGTTTTTGTCTACCTTCTGGAACCGTTTTTCATTGGACTCGAACCTTGTTGTTGTGGTCAACAGAAAAGGAAGAAGGAAAGGTGTCATACCGCACAGCGATCATTTTAAAAATGAAATGCAGCCATACATATTACTGGCTACATAATTCACACATCTCTAGAAATGCATATACAGTAGGGTTACATTTCAGAATGAGCCTGTGTTGTTTACTCCTCTCTTTTGCTTAAACCTGCAGTCTCTACTTTCATTGTACTTCATTAGCCAATCAACACAGACAAAAAATTGTCCTGAAAAATGTCAGCTTATAGAACAACCCCAAGAC